CGCTGCTGGCACCGTCTTTCGCAGTGTCGTGGGGGGTGTCATCCCGATCTTTGCGCCGATGCTGTTCGAGAAGCTGGGGTATGGTTGGGGCATCAGCACGTTTGCGTTTGTGAGCTTGCTGCTTGCGCCTGCTCCGATTCTGTTCTTTATCTTTGGTGAGAGACTTAGGGAACGCTATCCGGTCGATTTGTAGAACGTTATTAAGTAGGTATCTTTTTTATATTCATGGCGCAAGTTTCCGTTCCTGGTCACTTCTAGAAGACTTTCTCTCTATCTCCGGCTTCCAAGTGGTGTAGGACAGACTCAGTCTGTCACCATGACTACTAGAAGAGATGCATGTGAACCGTGATTACGTTTGTACAAAGCAGACTGTAAGGGCTATGTCGGCGCCTCGGGTCACGATCAGCCTCCCTCGGTCATCACATCTGCTAATGTGCATGGTGAGTGCGTTTGCATGAGCGCACCGCGAGGGCGATATAGGCATCTCAGAATATGAGCAGTCCATGACGCGTCACTCCACTTGGGTTCCTAGGCAGTCACTTACATTCACTGCGATCAAGTGGCGAACTTGGCAGTCGCTAGCGCTAGAGCGCTGCCCTGAGATATAGACCGGGCCCCTCTCACCTCCTCTCTGACCTCGTATAGTGTTCCCTTAGAAATTCTGGCTCTACACCAGAATGTACTCAGATACCGTCCACATCGGGGACACCGCGGCAGTCGCTTTGCTACTTGCCTACGGTTCTTCCTGGTGGCATTGCTTGGACCAGCACAACAATGCAGTACATGAAAGGCCTCGACGCCCCGCCGCGTCCAACCCTTCAATACTTGGATGAGTACGCTCCTTGAACGCAAGAAACCGGCCCCTCGCGTGTTCAAGCGGCTACTACATGACACCACTTCGACAACAAGTATGTCGGTGGTCACTCGTATCTGTCAACAGCAAGTTCCCGCTCGTCGGAGGCCTAAAACCTCCGTTGGCACAGGCGGGCTGGTCTGCCTGTGCTATGAATGCGACGTTGCGCCCCGGAGCGCTGCTGTCGTTGTCAGTCTTGGGGAAAGCGGAGCTCGCGGAGGTCTCCCCCGTGCCGCTGGCGGAAAACATTGTGCGGATAGCTTACGGCCGTCCACGATGCAAGCCCCATATCTGCTGTTGAACAGTGTGTCTGTACTACTTGTACATCGTATCTTTTTCGTTGGGCTGATGTCTTTATGGCGTTGCTTGAGGAAGGAGCGCGGATGAATTTGAAGTGAGGGAACGTACCTCAGCAAATGCCCAGGTTCCGGTGAGCCATGATACTATGTTGTAGAGGAGAAAACGGCAAGCCTGGGAGGGCATGTAGGTAGCCCATTGGTCATGTCTAACAACTAAAGTACCTCCGCAACGCTCGTTGCAGAAGACCATATATGGCTTCCAACCCCGCTTTTCAGAGCCACTGATCTGTCTAGAGAGTGACATCCTGTGTTTCCACACCGTAAGATTTACGAAGTGAGATACCACCATGAGAGTAACAAGCTGCTTGGCATCCATCTCATGATCAAGCCAAAGTCTTAGTATTTTCGTCTATTGCCGATGCGGGACTCCTATATAAATCCCCAATGCAGCACCTGCATGCTTCGTATCGTTGCTACTGTTCTTCCCAACATCAACTTGAACACTTCCCAAAAATGCATCTCCTCCCATTCCTCACTACCTTTCTCACGGTCTCGGCCGCGACTATCGCAATCCCTACAGAAACCCCCTCTGATGATACCACTGCTCAGGCTTGTCCTGGCCGACGCATCAGCTGGCGGGGTGGAGGCTGTGAGTTCAATTGGGGGAACGACTGTAAGAATCGCTGCTTGAACTCTGCAGGTGGCAAACGGTGCTGCCCTCGTACGGTCAGTTGGTATCAAGATCGCGGAGGATGCTGGTGGGGCAGAGAGACTTGCGAGTGTGCCTGTAATGCCTAGGCAGTGAAGGTACACCACCGAAATGGTATGGAATACCAGCAACTGTCATCTGAGCTCTAAGAAATATTTGCTGACGCCTCAGTTGTAGTGAAGCATATCTTGGGGCCAGTGCGCTGTCTCGGGTTATGGTACTTGGATAGCGGTTGCGTCGATTGGTGGGCGGTGTATTCGTGGCTTTCGTCGTCTACATTGCGAGTGGTACAAATTTGGCACGAAAGTCCAATCACTTGGAGGTGTTCCGGTACGACGAATAACTCGATACGATCAATGCGAAAAGTCGGTTTTGTTCGTGTAGGCTTCTTGACACTGGGCCCGATGTCTTTTCTCCTGAACGCACGTCGTGACGCTCGGATTCAGTCGTGAGAAAGTCACACCTTGGTAGTTACACGATTAGGATCATGAGGTCAGGTGTATACTGCCGTTGAAGACAAAATGAAAGTGCAAGAGATCGATGATGTTGCGACGGCTTCCTCATTCCGTAACCGCAACGGGTATGACGTCACCAGATCCCAGCGAACAACATCAAAGCCATCGCAATCATACCGTATACCAAAGCACAATCCAATGACCAGCCCGAACCAGTATCAGACAGCAGTCTGAGTCAAGGGCGCACTCTACTTATTCTGCTTGTCATTCGATCCCGACCCCCAACCCTCATGCTGACTGTCGCGATATTACTCGGGGGAGAAGCGGCCCCCAAAACCCCTGGACGTGCGTTCTCACTCATAGCCAGACCTTTCAAAATATCATCTCCCAGGAGCGACAATCTCGTTTCACGGCATCACAGAGTTGTGGGGGCCGACAACCACCAGTGCAGTCTTGGAGACACAGCCCAATTCTAATCTGCGCCTCAACACCTTCCAAGGTCCCTACTGGCTACCGCCTTCATCTCCTTCATCTTGAGGCCGAAAGAAAGTGTACTGGCCAATTTTCCCAGGAAAACGGTCTCCAGGGCTGCCTTAATATGGCTAAAACGTACCTACATGGAAAATGGGCTGCGCCACTCGCACATCCCCGAGGCCCAGCTTGTTGCTCGATAACGAAGCGCGCAGCCCCTGCGTGTCAACATTTGTACGACGTCGAACCTGAAAATATGGAAGGCTCCGTGCTCCATTGGTCAAAGACCTTGCATGACTATACTTCTGTGTGTGCGGTCGGTTGGCCTCACATGAATTGTGCCCAGGTGTCGATCAAGTCAAGCTTGGCAAAGCGAAGTCAAAGCGTACTGCATCGGGGCTTATTCCATCCCCAGTACAACGGTACAGACCTGTTCTCTTAAGCTACATTACTCTATGTCTTTCGCTCATAAAATCAGTAGAACTCTCTTGTTCTTTGGAGAGACCAAAGCCACTCGAAATCATCTTGCCTGAACATTTACCCTCATCAACATGCCTTCATCCAGTTTACAGCCCCATACCAAACACATTCTCTTGGCTTCTTCCATCGTTGTCGTTCCGATGATCACGTTCACCGTCGTGATCCTTGTGCTAGTCTTTCACAATCTAGCAAGTCATCTAGACTGTCCCTATAGCGAGATATGCCCACAGTCTCCGCTTATCAATGTCACCAAGGCGTCTCAATACTACGTCGACTTTCCGGCTACTCGCCTCGTGTTCGTATCTTCTTGGTCATCCACCGTTAGCTTCGCTCTCGTGAGCGCCCTCATGTCGATTTACGCCTATTGCGCCGCGCGCCGGCTTACGGAAGCGTCCGTGTCACAGGACCAGAGCAGATGTCTTCCTACATCTTATGAGACTAGCCTTGTAGTCCGACTTCTGAATGCGGATTACCTGTCTCTGTGGGAACTATCCCGGCCATGGCGACGGTGGTCCTTTCGGCGCGGCACGAAAAGCGAATCACTCGGGCGAGCTACGAAACCAATGGTACTACGAGCATCAATATTCGTTCTATGTCTAGCTGTGCTCGCGAGGTACGTATATGCATCATTAGACTCAAGTCCGTACTAAGCTTCCCAGTGTTCTTGTGCATGCAGCAGACGGCTATCTCCATATAGCGACCGAAGCAATAGAGTTAGTTCAGGTCTTCCCTCAAGATCCTACTCAGCATCATTACGGCAGGAGCATTGATCCATGGTGCTTTGATGATAGCGAAACCGTCGGTACCATGCAGAACCAAAATTTCTGGGGTTGCGGTATGACAACACACATAGACGACAACGAGTCTAGGTTGCAACTTACAAACAACACCGAATTTCTCGCAATGGTAGATGAAGGCTATGGGAAAGGCATCATGAACTTTACTGAGGAGACTGGACGCCAATACGCGGTTGTTGGTCCAACAATATCGCCCTCCGAAACAGACTGGCAGGCGACATCGTACGCCATTTCGTCCCAGTGTGCGCCTATACCTGCTACCGCCTGCGATATCCAGGTGAACTCGAACGTAACTAATGACCTTGGAAAAATAGTAATGCCCTTCGACTGCTTCATCACTCGCGGCTCGCCGATCGACTATTCAGGGAGCTACATAGGATTCGCATTCTCATACATTTTTTATGATTTCCACAAGCACTTAAACGAACGCGGAACATTTAGTAGAATGGAAGGGCTCGATTTTACCCCTAAAAACGAGGAGGGATCCATTATACCAAACATAACAAAACAGGAGAGTGCTCAGATGTTCCCAAGCACGTGGAGATGGACCGCAGCCGTTGCTCTAGATTTAGACGTCCGTTCGGACGACTTACCAAGAGACATGGTTGGCAAAGCCTGGCTGATGGACCCCGCGTATGCGCATTCCGTGATGGTTGTTGCATGCAACACAACAGGTGAGTAACCGTTACCAAGGGAACTGTACGGTCGTTGTTCTTCATCTAATATGTCATTCCAGTCTACAATGTCACATATAGTGCTACTGGTGGTGCAATCAAAGAGTTGGATGCCCATGAGAGTAACTCTACTGTGGCGGGTATCTCAATTCTCCCCTCTATCGACAGCACAGGACAAATGGCGGAATTAAAATACAGCGTCTTTCGGCAAGCCAATCCTCCAATATCTTTGGAACAGTGGATCTCAGCCTTAGAGCTAGGGATGAGCACCATGTTCGCCCTTCCTTTAGTGGTGCACACAGTGCCGGCAAACAGTATTCTAGTGCAGACAAGAGCCAGGAAGATTATGACTAGAACGCCTGTCGCTGCTGTCTGGCTGCTGGTTTTGGCAAATTTGTTCTTCGCCGCTCTTGGAATTGGCCTCGCCGTCATGGCTTGGATGGCAGCAGATCAGGACGTTCATCAAGTCAGGACGCGGCTTGGTGTTCCAGGATTAGCGGCTGCTCTCTTCGAGAGGAACTCCGAGAACCGCATCGTCAAGTCTGACAAGGAGTTGTTCCAAGAGAACGACAAGAATGGAGTACCGCTGGTTCTTGTTGGAGTTCAACATACCGTTACTGGAGGCATGGCGTGGTCACTTCGCGACAACCAAACTGGCCGTCCATGTTTGGCGGACGGGGCGAAGATGTCGACTGCTCAAATCAGTGATACCACGCACTCGATATCAAACCAGACGACCGGCGCTGAGGAGGTCGTCCGCATATCCGACAGCTCTGGTAATGAGGCTGTGGAACATCAGCCAAGCTCCGTCGTACCTTCAGAGCCTGTAACTCAATTTGACGCTGTCAGCCCGATTGAACAGCCTAATCAATGGGTGTAAAGAGAGATACCTACAGCTATGGTCTTCCTGACCCATGCGACAGCCATAAGTGTGTATGGCAGAGAGGGAAGGCGAGCCTTTGGCTGCAGGTTGACACGGAGGCTGCCCAGGTGTGCGAATGTCTGACGATCTCAACGCGAAAAGCAAGGCGACTGAAACCTTGATATCATTACGAATAGATAGATACAAATGTGTACTGTTGAGATTGAAAGAAGAAGCACTGAATCGATGGTGTTGCGTCGGCTTCCCCATTGCGCGACTGGCGTGACGTCACCGAACCCTGCAAGATGGCACGAACCGACCCCGGGACCCTACCACCCATCCCCATTATTACATCAACATCAACCTCCAAAGAGACTAGAAGATCTCTCAGCTACATTCAATGATCAGTCTTTTTTATTTAAAGGCATCATATACAGAGACATGTTATAAGTTTGTGTCCGCTGTCGATCGACAATCTGGCGCACCTGGCAGATACAACACCGGACTTTGGGGTAACGTCCGTAACAACAGACTGATTTCTCTCGTTAAATGCACTGCGTTTCTGGTTCCGTATCTGCCCTGCGTCGGGACGTGCTCATGAACGACACTTGCCGTGATACTGTAACCACCATGGTTTGCTGTCATCGCCCACCAACCTTTTCTCCGCTTCTTCATTACATCTGTCTATTCGTTCTACGAAAAGGGAGACAAGATGTCAATGTTAGGGTCAACTATGCGAGGCCAATGCGAGACGATCGGAACCGGACACCGCGATCAGAATGACAGTTGTGACATGGCACATATTGGGGTATCCGAGGCCGCCACTTTACCACCACATGATAGCGAGAAGGCCGACGAGAGCAGCAACAAGGATGAACGAAGTGACATACTCGATGTTGCAGGACAGGCTAGTTCAGGCAACAAGCTGAACAAATGGCAGGCGTCGCTGATCTACATCACGAATCAGGTAGGCATAGGTATATTGGGTCTGCCTGCGGCATTGCAAACTCTCGGGTTAATCCCAGGAATTATCTGCATTATCGGGCTAGGTATGTTAGACACTAGGAGAACGGACACTATAAGCTCTTTGCTAACACGAGTTCTGGTAGGCATCACGGTCATGTATACAGCATATGTCCTGCTCCAGTTCTTCAGGAGATACCCTTCGGTCTTGAGTTGCGTCGACTGTTTCAGAATTATTGGCGGTACCCCTCTGTCCACGGTTGTCGGTATTGGCTTTGTACTCAATCAGCTCTTTGCTTGCTCATCCGCCGTCATCACTATGAGCATCGCGCTTAACAGCATATCTGAGCATGCCATGTGCACCATCTTGTTCATTCTAATCCCCACTATCGTTTCTTGCGTTCTATGTATGCCCAGACGCATGAAGTTTCTGGCGGATTTTGGCAGTAAGTCTAGCTCCTGGTTTGTGACGAGAAACGCTAATGTGTCGCAGTCCCTTGCACTATCTCAATCCTTGCTGCGACTATCATCGTCATGGCTGCACTTGGTATCGCTGGACCTAACGGTGCGCCACCAAGATGGGAGAATGAGATCGTGCTAGTTGGTCATCCTCCTTTTGCGCAAGGTTTCACTTCCGTGCTCAACATTGCTTTCGCCTATGCCGGCAATCAGGCGTTCGTTACAGTGATGGCGGAGATGCAAGACCCATCAAAAGATTTCATGCCTTCCGTGTTTCTTCTACAGGGCTTCGCAATTCCCATGTACACGGTCGTTGGAACAGTCGTCTATGTATTGGCTGGAGAATACACAACCAGTCCAGCGCTCGGCGCAGCGTCTATGATGACAGCTAAGATAGCATATGGTCTTCTCCTACCTACTCTACTTGGAACATCGCTGGTTTTTGGCCATACATCGATCAGATACATGTTCATCGAGGGCTTACGCTTCGTGGGCAGAGAGAGCGAGTACAGCCAAAACACCAGACAGACCTGGGTAATGTGGCTCTGCATTGGCGCCACCTTCTGGACCCTTGTATTCTTTCTCGCAAACGCGATACCACTCTTCCATTCCATCCTGTCGGTATCAGCCGCACTCTTCGTCTCTTGGTTTACCTTTGGGATTTCCGGAGTTATGTGGCTCTACCTCAACTGGGACGTTCAGTTCCGCGATTGGAAGAAGACGTGTTTGGCTAGTCTGAACTGGACCATCATCGCCTTGACTTTGTTTGCAAACGGTGTCGGTCTATGGGCTTCAATTGAGCAGCTTGTAGCTGCGTACCATGATCCTCTCGTTCCTGTCGAAGGCTCGTTCACATGTGCTGATAATAGCGTTTGGGGGTAGCTAGGTATCCAGTCTTGGTCTTTGAGCGTTCGTGTATAATTTAGTTCTCATGCGAGGAATACTAGAAGTAGAAGAAGTGGACCCCTGGTATTCAACGCTGCGGCTCTGTCTTGTTTTCAATTTCAGTGTATAAATTACTAGGACCAGACTGTGATATGGACTTCCAGAGCGTGCTCGTTATTTACATGACGCCTTTGAATACAACTCGAACAGGCGCAATGTCTTCTCGTATTTGATGCAGAACGTCTTCCTCGTCTCGCCGAATTTCGTCATCCGTTCTCAGTTCAATTTCACTGATACCTGTCGTCGTCCACCAGATACCGAGAGTCACTCTAGTTGGTAGAAATCTTGCTTCTCGCAGAGCGTCTCTGATATCACTCGCGTACGTCATTCCACGCTCTCTTCTCAGATCAGCTCTCGACGTAGACGGCGACGGTATCCTGTAATGCATGCGTTCAGTCGGCCGCGTTGCTTCCCGAGTTTCAATTCCCAGATCGAGTTCTTCCAATGCTGGGAAGCGTGCCAGAAGGGCAAAAACACGTTGCATCTCATCGAGAAGCTCCAGGCAGAAAGCTTTATGGACGCAGAAGAGCGTAATAATATTGTCTGGATCCAGCGATACGCGATCGATACTGAAGCTGGGAATGGTGATATATTTAACCAGCTTCCTGTTCTCGACTCCGATTTGGCGAAAGAATTCTCGTGCCACCCAGCGTATGGACTCTGAGCCGTTGTAGAGGAAGAAGTTGAAACGGCTGAAGCAGTAGTTGAGAAGCTCGTCGTGGAAGATGCGGTTGACGAATACAAGGCCTTGAATGCTTTCGAGACCTTGCAGTTGATAGCCACTGTGTCGCTGTCGGACGCTTATATTGATCGTTCGACTCCGGAAACTTTGCGCGAGAAGATAGTGATATATCTGCTGGCGGATTTCGAGTGGTAGCCTGAGGAAGCCCGGGATGGTGGTTGCCATTGTTGATGACGTTGATGAAGTTGTCGATGCTCTGGTATTCGAATGCAGTGTCGATAGCGGTGACTGCGCAATCAGCTGTCTGTGGAATATCTACGTAATATGCACGTGGAAGAGATGTTCGATAAGACAAATGCCTATTCGCGGAAGGTCTGGTTCAGATGCAGAGATCTCAACGCATGCATCGGAAGGCGCCTAGGTCTGTGCTCATGCGGCACAGCAACCCCGCAAACGGCCTACCAACTTCTGTAGACAATGCTGTCAGTGACATCTCTCGTCAGGCTTGCTTCTCCATGTTCAACCACGGGAGTGGGATTCGCACCGCCTGATCCCCGGCATTGTCGCAGGATCCATGCCTGACATGCCACGTCTAAATTGCGTCCCACCGAGAAGATTAGCAACCTCCACCGACCCAAAACATGAGCGATTTCACGGCTGGGAACATTGCGCACATACCAAAGCTTGTTTGAACAGGATATTGCTATTTGTTGGCAAATAGATTAAACACTAAAAACTACCTCCAAGCCACCTTCGCTATCGACTTGCAGTAAACATAGTATGGTCAGAATGAAGACAGATGCAAGACGTGAACGCATAACGTAGCTAAACGTGATTGACAAAAGAGCTACGGGCTACATCATAGGGACTCTACAAAGAGACATCGATGGAGATGTTAAGTCCGTCGAGGAGGGCGTCGACGCAGCCAAAGTTCTGCTCAACGTTGAGGTCACCGGGCGCCTTCCAGCCGTCGTTGGCGAAGGAGAAAACGCAGGACTCGGGACCGACGCTCTCGAGAATCTTCTTCATGGCAGTCTTCTGCTCCTGGACACCGGCAACAGCCTTGCCGTTGGAGGTACCGGCGCTGGGCCAGCCGATCTCAGTGATGAACTTGCCCTTGGCGGCGGCCTCGGGGCAGACCTTGGCGGCTTGCTCGAGTTGCTGAGCAGCGAAGTCACCAGCCATGTCAGCAGTGACGGACTGGGTGAAGTAAGGGTGGATCTGGACGGTGAAGATGTCGATGTGGTCGCAGAGAGCATCACCAATCGTCTCCCACGAGCCAACAGTCTCGGTGGTGGTGATGGCAATGTCAGAGGGGAAGCCGGCGCCACGGAGCTCATCACGGACGTAGTCGAGGTAGGAACCAAGCTCGCTGACCTCGCAGTTACCGTTGAAGACGCACTCGTTTCCAACAATGACCATGGCGACAGAGTCCTTGGGGGCGTTCTCCTTGATGTCGTTCAACTGGTCGTTGGCGTAGCTGGAGAAGGGACCCTTTCCGGCCTTGCCACCGGCCTCGAGGAAGATGCCGTAGATGACCTTGAGTCCGTACTTGGTGCACTCAGGGACAACGTGCTCAAAGACACCGCAGTCAGTGCTGTATGAGCGGATGGTGGTGAAACCGAGCTCAGAGATCTTCTTGATGTCGGCAGCAATCTCGTCGGCGGTCCTGCAGTTACCGTCGTTGGCGTAGGGAGTGTAGGTAATGGCCCACTTGTCGCCGTTGGTCTTGATGTGCTCACCGTTGTTGTAGCTGCCGGTGGGCTTGGGCTTGTCAGAGCCGTGGGTGGCGCTGGGAGTGGGCTTGGGCTTCTCAGCCTCCTTGGAGGAAGCAGGGACCTCAGGGGTGTAGGCAGGCTTGGAGGCCTCAGGAACCTCAGGGACAGCGGGCTTGGAAACCTCAGGAACGGTGGGGTAAGCTGGCTTAGAGGGAGCAGGGGCCTCAGGGACCGCGGGCTTGGTGGTCTCG